AGATAGGCTCAACGTTCTGCAAGCAAAGCCATACCTCAGAGTAGTTGCTGACAAGAAGCACCTCATGCATAAAGCCCTGGGTAGATCTTAGGGTCACAGATTCAAAAGAGGAAGGTCTTGGATGGCGCTTGCTAAAGACACAATTAGACATGTGTGCAAGCTTGAAATAATGTGGACGAGGAGAGAACTCGGTCGAGGTGTCCGAGCAAGTTTCAGATTTGTGTAGGGTTCTAATAACTTTGGGTCATGAGTGCAGGGACTGGCCAGCTGGTGCTGCAGAATCAGAAGTTCACCAAATTATTCATGACAATATCGGCCCATGTGATGTGATAATCTTTACAGATGGCTCTGTGTTGAGGGGCAGATAAAGTGCATGGGGTTTCATAGCAAAAGCGAATGGACGTCGCTCAGTGCAACAAAACCTTGCATACGATATCACAATGTATAGTTTGAGAATAAAGGTAGAATCGGGGACGGCTGCCTTCGGCCGAATTGAGAATCAGCTGTAAACAAACACATGTCGTGATTGTAAATGACTCACAGGGCATGTTAAGAAGATAGGTGGAGACAAGCAGGCTCCATGCAGAGTGGTAAGCATCACTTCTTAGGCCTCGGGTAATTAGGGCCCTTTTGATATTTTTTCCAGGTTACGCCGGTGTGTTGGGAAATTAGCAGGCAGATAGACTGGCTGGTTCTGCACCACTTGATGGTGAACTGATATATGAGAAGCTGGATGTTGTGAGTTCCCTCTGAGAACGAGAGAACAGTGCGGAGGCACAGAAAGATCATTTAGGTCTGAAGAGAATGGCGCTGCGGGGAGTTACTAGGGAAGCTTGCATTCAATCAACACTCAAGGGAAAGGCGAGAGGGATAGACAATCAGACAGTTCTGATACAATCGGAATTGGAACTCTTCACTTACTTCTGAAGATAGAGACAAAGCGTTTATGGCATTGTCCTGAGTGCTATGGTTCAACAATATGGCGCAAATAATCTAGTCATTAATATAACCTTAAGCTCCCCTTTCGAGGATGCTGGTGGAGCAAAGCAAAAACTGTTTCAACACCTTATATATATTTAAATACGGTTTACTTTCTACCTGATAAGAACTGAAATTCTTTGTCCAACAAAAAAACAATAAAGAATATGTTTTGTTTTCATCTTAATGGTATACTTTTCTTTGTAAAACACCTGTTAACAGTATTTTTTTTCCCAAGAGAATTATCATTTTCATCACTATATGAGATAACATTAACATTTTAATGCTCTCTCATATTCGAAACTTAAACAACAATTTTAAAAAGGAGCATTTATAAATGTATTAACTAAATATCACAAAATACTTGGAAATATAAATGATTAAAAAAAAAAAAAGCTTAAGGATCAAATGTGAATTATGAATAGGCCAGAAGGCATCACAGAGAACCATCTACCAGTTGTGTGCATGGACATTCCAGACACCTGGCTTTTGAAACTGAAACAAAAGTGCACTTCACCAATCACGCCTTCTGACTGAATGACTGACTGACTTTCTACCCCACCAGAACATCACACAGGCGATAAACACCCAATGACAGAATGTGCCACCATGTGGGTGAGGATCACCGTGAAGAGGTCGCAGAAACCGCGTTCAGCCTTTAGGCCATATTTATGGCCAGGCTATATTGCGGCCCCTGGCAAGAGCCAGCGTAGGGTTTCAAATAACGAAAAATTGCATCCTAAAAGGAGGGGACGTAACACGCCATCATCACGTCTTCTACGAAATACACCTGGCCAAATCAGAAGAGGCACAAACCAAGGAGGAAACATCATAAATGAAAGGGCAAGAAGAACACAGTTGACAGCAGGATAGGGAATGAGCGGTCTAGCATGGAGGCAAGAAGAACACAGTTGACAACAGGATAGGGAATGAGCGGTCTGGCATGGAGGCAAGAAGAACACAGTTGACAGCAGGATAGGAAATGAGCGGTCTGGCATGGAGGCAAGAAGAACACAGTTGACAGCAGGATAGGGAATGAGCGGTCTGGCATGGAGGCAAGAAGAACACAGTTGACAACAGTACAGGGAATGAGCGGTCTGGCATGGAGGAAAGAACAACACAGTTGACAACAGGATAGGGAATGAGTGGTCTGGCATGGAGGCAAGAAGAACACAGTTGACAACAGGATAGGGAATGAGCGGTCTGGCATGGAGGCAAGAAGAACACAGTTGACAGCAGGATAGGGAATGAGCGGTCTGGCATGGAGGCAAGAAGAACACAGTTGACAACAGGATAGGGAATGAGCGGTCTGGCATGGAGGAAAGAAGAACACAGTTGACAGCAGGATAGGGAATGAGCGGTCTGGCATGGAGGCAAGAAGAACACAGTTGACAGCAGGATAGGGAATGAGCGGTCTGGCATGGAGGCAAGAAGAACACAGTTGACAACAGGATAGGGAATGAGCGGTCTGGCATGGAGGCAAGAAGAACACAGTTGACAACAGGATAGGGAATGAGCGGTCTGGCATGGAGGCAAGAAGAACACAGTTGACAACAGGATAGGGAATGAGCGGTCTGGCATGGAGGCAAGAAGAACACAGTTGACAGCAGGATAGGGAATGAGCGGTCTGGCATGGAGGCAAGAAGAACACAGTTGACAGCAGGATAGGGAATGAGCGGTCTGGCATGGAGGAAAGAAGAACACAGTTGACAGCAGGATAGGGAATGAGCGGTCTGGCATGGAGGAAAGAAGAACACAGTTGACAGCAGGATAGGGAATGAGTGGTCTGGCATGGAGGAAAGAACAACACAGTTGACAACAGGATAGGGAATGAGCGGTCTGGCATGGAGGCAAGAAGAACACAGTTGACAACAGGACAAGGAATGAGTGGTTTAGTATGGAGGCAAGAAGAACCCAGCTGACAACAGGATAGGGAATGAGCAGTCTGGCATGGAGGAAAGAAGCATTAAACCCAGAGACGGTGCAAATAAAAGAACTTTAGCCACGAAAATGGCGCAAATAAAAAAGACCACAAATATAGCTGAAGCCAGCAGGAGGTTGAAAGTGGTTGAATTTTTGATTTTTTTTTTCTTAAAATGAAATGGAATTATAATTAAATGTATACACATATACTTACTAGAGCAAATTCTCTACATAGTTGAGGTTTGGGGTGTGGCGGGGATAAAAGGTAAAAATATGTGTTTAAAATAAGGCGTGTAGGAGATACATAGATGATGGTCGTAATGGGCACCAAGATGGGTCCCAGTTACGCGTGCCTTTTTATGGGCCACCTGGAATATGAAGTCAGTTTAATATACCGTGGCAAGTTTACGGAGGTGTATAAGAGATACATAGATGATGGCGTTGGTATCACCTAAATGTCAAAGGTTGAGTATGACCAGTTCATCACTTACATCAACAATTTCAATCCGGCTATCAAAATCACCTCACTGATCTTCATCACTTCAGTAAACTTTCTTGACATCACGGTTAGCGTCGGCTTCCCGTGTCTAAAGACCACAGCCTACTACAAACCCAAGGATTCTTACAACTATCACCTCTAGACGTCGTCTCACTCACTGTGGTGTAAAAATTATATTCCGTATTCACAGCTCCTTCGATTGCGCAGGTTGTGCTCTGATGATTCTGACTTCTTTGATAAATCAGTTAAACTTCTTGCTTTCTTCCATGCCCGTTTTTAGCCGGAAAAAATTCTAAAAGAGGCTGTAAACAAAGTTTTAACAATCACCAGGAGAGAGGCTTTCCCCACCAAACGTAATTCCACCATTAATAAACCCAAATTGATTTCGACTTTTCACCCTAACAATGAGTTTGCTTCCAAAGTATTCTCTCCTCATTTGGACATTCTCCACTCTGATCCGGACATCAAGATTATCTTTAGTGAGAAGCCAAAATTAGTTTATAGACGAGACCGCAACCTTAAAGACATACTTGTCAGAAGCCGACTCCCACCGATCCGCACAGCACTTCCTTTTGGGACTACTGAATGCTCTCGCAGCACGTGCAAGACATTCTTCGGTCTGTTTCCCTAATGATTCTTTCCAAATTATGGAACATTTTACTTGCGAATTCCGCAACGTAATTTATGCAATAATCTGCAAACGATGCAGCAAGTCATACATTGGGGAAACTGGCAGGAAGCTAGCTGATAGTTTCCGGCAACACCTCTCCGATTTTGACAAGAAGACACTTAAACCAATCTCTCTCCATTTTAACAGTTCTGACCACAGAGGTAAAGATGATAATCTGTCACAGCATTAAAATCTTGCTCTGGCGATCATACTACGCGCCTCGCTTTGGAAAATCGCCTCATCCACAGCCTAAGCGTTCTTAGTCCAGGTGGTATCAATATGCAACATACCTTCATCTAAACAGTTCTACTCTTTCCACATTTTAAATGTTAATTATTTTCTTTTCTTTTCTTTTATTTCATATTATTACTTTATTCTATCTCTTATCAATATCATTTATGTATCATTAACATTTGTATATCTTTTATTCCCACTATTATACTATATATTAAAAATATGACATTTTATTTTTTGCGACTATATTTTTTTCGCCATCGTTTTTTTTTATTTTATGTCATTCATTCCGCATCACATTTTTTTTAAACGTTGCTCACCTCACACCATAGAGATCTGTATACTCTCCTCTCCTCGTTAGTATTTCTGTGTAGTTTGACAAAGGCTGCCCGGCGGAAACGTTACGTTATTTGTGTTGTTTTCTGCACGTTTTTCTGCTTTTGCATTTTGTTGAGCTTTTTAGTCAAATTTCTCTGGAATTCCTTGTATTAGCTTGACTGCAGTCACGTCCATATTTTCACCATGTGTTTAAAAATGTTTGTGTATACATGAATGAGTGTTATATTAGTGGTGTTGTGAAAGGATATTTTCCGCACCAGGAACCATCTGACCTAGCTACGCCATCTCAAGCAGTCTGGATGATTTTTTCTCCGCAGACTGGCTACTAATTAATTTATCAACAACTAAATTGCAAAGATGGCGACAATGAGACAGCACTCATCTGTGCTGTTGCTGATCATGTGGGCGCTATTAGTCGGGATTGTTCTCCCGTTTGAGCAGGTTTGTCAAACTGGTATCGTCCGTTTCTGTTGCCGTGACGCTGCTTGTTGGCAGGCTGGTATGATTTTTGATAACAACACACACTGACAGTGGAGCGGTTGAAAAAAAAAAAAAAAACACAAGTGAAACTGTTTCTCCCACAGGCTTTATCAACGGAGTGCTAAATACAACACAAAGTGGGACTGAAATACTCAATGGACAGGACAATAAAGCCAGTAAACAACCAAGGTCAACATGAAACCAAGAATTACTAACAGGAAAAAATACAGACAAGAAGAACTACATTGCGAAACGAAATAAACTATGAGAGGAAGCGAGAGGAAGGTTACCTTGATTAATATAAACAAGTTAAATAACTTTATTAATTTTTAAAAAAAAGAAAAACTAAATTAAAAAAATATAGGTGTGCTGAATATTGATTCCTGTAGGAATTTACCAGCGGCGGGTTTGATCACTGGCTGAAAGGGTACAGTGCTGCCTGAACACATGAGCTCGCTGGGCATTTGCCGGGCGACCCCAGAAGCACAGAGCCCTAACTCATCTGTGTTTGTTATGTTATGTTATGTTATTTTATGTTACTTTATGTTTCGTTATGTTACGGTATTGCGAATAGTTGTCTCAGGTTCCCTACCACACAGCTTTCTCTGTCATCATCATCAAGTGCTTTGCCAGCTGGAGTAGGCGTTCGTGTGTCCCCGCGGATCTCGGTCTATGGTGTTGTGTCAATTCCACTGTTGACATTCCTCCATGCTACCCTCTTAAGCCATCATTTCTCTAGGTTTGCCTCTGTCTCTTCTACCAGTGATCTTTGCAGTCGTCGCAATCTGTCAGGCAGACAGATTTACTGGATCTGCACCACTGGGTGATGAATTGATACATGACGAGATAGATGTGGTCAAGGCCATTTGACAACAAGCAACGTAATCAGTAGAGAAGGAACGTTCTTATGGCCTGGAGAGAATGAGGCAATTGGGTGTAACCAGAGGGTCTGGCCGGTTCACTACACTCAGAGGAATGGCAATATAACCAGGTTGTGACAGGTACCATCAGTACTGGAACTCTGCTCTACCAGTTGAAGATGAAGACCGATAATGCTTGGGAATCCCCCGAAAGCTGTGATCCTTATTCTTGACTCAACTAACAACACGATTTTTTTCCAGTGCCCCTTTTCTCGTCACATGACCAAAGAACTTTGTTTGTCTCCTTCTCATTGATGTATATGATTTTCTACTTTCATTAGCCATTTCCAGGCAATCATTAGTTATTCTGGCAGTTCGAGGTATTCGCAACATTATTTTTTTTAACCACATCTAAGTAGCATTTAAACTGTTCTCACTTTGTCTGCTCAGATTCCAAGATTCACTACCCTACAACAGGTTTGCCCAGACGCTCATACTTGGTCCGACAATTAAATAATGAGACTGATTCTATAAAAAATTTAAAAAATCAACAGTTGAAGATATAAACTGTATCTGATTTAAAGTAAGCCCCTTGTGCATTGATTCAGTAGGTGGCACGATATAACAAACACTGGAACGACCTCTGTAGTTCTTATATTGTTATGGACCTTTGGATGTCATCTATATTGTTAGAGAAGCGTCCTTTCATTCGTAACTTTAATTTTGGGAAAATAAAATAATCACAGGGAGACAAATCTGGGGATTAGGTTGAAAGGCTGAGAAAACACATTTGTTTTTGCGCCAAAAATTCTTGTTTGGATGATATCTCTTGGATACTCAACCCGCGGATATTTTTATTCATCAGACAACGAATGTGGTACAAACTGGCAAGCAACTTTTTTTTTCTTGCCAAAATCTTGCACTAAAATTTTTTGAATTGTCCCTCTATTAACATCAGATTCATCTACCATCATCCTCACAGTAAAACAATTATCTTCTTGTATCCGTTCTCTGACTTTTGCAATTATTTCATCATTACGAACAGAAATGTGACGTCCAGGTCTAGGTGCATCAGTAATCATTTCCACACCACTTTTAAATCGTGAATACCACCTGAAAACGTGTGCACGAGATAAACAATTATCCCCATAAACTTGTTGCATCATTTCAACTGTTTCAGTGGCGCTTTTTCCAAATTTTAAAAAGAATTTAATGTTAGCTTTTTGCTCTAGGTTTTAAAAAAAAATGGCGGCTTGTTTGTTGTCTGCTTTTCGAGCGGCTATTAAAAGTTGCCACATCATAGATGAATGTTGCCTCTTTAGATTCCATGCTTTCTTCATAGATGACAATTTCGTCTTAGCCATAATAAAATCAGTCTCATTCCTTAATTGTCGGACCTTGTAATTAAGACGGACTGCTCTGGTAAGGCAGACGATCATCCGGTATTTGCCTGTGATCCTTGTATTTCAACTGGCGAGAATTCGTTTAACTTCTCGAGCACGCTAGGCCAAAACCGTAGTAACAGTAAAGGATCCTTTTCTTTTCCACACTTTCATGTTTATTGGGCATACAGGGCCAGAACTATATTTTAAGGACGTACCTAGTACCCACTCATGGCTGGGTCGGCAGATATGTCCACCCCTGCCCCCCCTCCCTTTTTAAGAATAAGTCATCATTTTTTTTTTGTCATTTTGATCCTGACCCACACAGGACTGAAGGTCAGCAGCTGGCTGGTGTTGTTGTTACTGGTGCCCTAGTTATATATTTTTTAGAGGTTGAACGGGGTATCTAGGATCTGTCTGGCTGGTCTGACGTCCGTATTGGGATTTCCTTATCTCAGGCTGGCATGGTCAAACTTGAGATAACACCGCCTAGGGGACTTACTGATCGATCCATTGATTGGTCATGCTTTGACAAGAAGGAAACTGGAACATGCTGTGACGAATAGACAGATCTGTGGTAAAACGGCAGAGAAAGACGATGTAAGAAGATTCTTGGCAAGTCTTTTGTCATGGCATGGAGAGATGCCAGCACACGAACGGATAAATGCGGTTGTACAAACGTTAGTCTCCCCCGCGAAAAGTAGGTCATTTTCATTGATGAGTTGTTTGTTGGACTAGTTTACCGTGGTCGTGGTTATGGTTGAGGCGATATGTTGTTTTGTTGCATTTACGTTTTTATTCTGAGAAAGAGAATGCCTGTTACATAGGTTTCATCACTCTCTATAGGGGTTGTGTGTTAGACCCAATTTCGAAATGTTTTTGGAGTGTTAAAAGCTCTAGCATTGTGAAATATACAACATGCAATATCGACTGCATTGCGGAACAGTCCCGTCATCTTGTGTGAAAGTCGGATGGCTAGAGGCCGACCAATCAGGAGTGGGATGGACTGAAGGTCGACTAATCAGAAGCAAGCTAGTGTGTACATGTGTGTAAAATAGTGGGGAGGGGAGGGGGGAGAGGTTATCGTTTGTTTTACCATACATGCCATTGAAGATCGCAGGTTGTGGAGAGGCCAGTCGACGAGGCAGTTGACGATGATGATGACGATGTTATTTCCTCCCGCAGAATGGCATAGCATACACACTTTGCAGCAAGGAAAGCCCCACCTCAGTTGAGATGACTCCCGTCAGCCCCGGAATCTTGTTGCTGAGCCCTAACTTTGGAGACGGTCACTATCCCAACAACTTGAGTTGTTACATCCGGCTGTATTCCAGGAACGAGGCGGTTGGTTTGAAATTGCATTTTAGGTGAGTCTTCACAGGTGGGCGAACGAGTTGGTTGGTTTGAGGCTATATTTAAAGTGAGACTTCACAAAGGGAGGCAAACGATTCGGTTGGTTTAAGGCTGCATTTAAGGCGATTCTTCAGATTCTTCACAGGGGCGCACTGGCTACAACCGAGAGACGCAAACAACTTTAGCGCCCCGCCCCCTTTCCCAGTAATGTCTAACCTAGTTTATATATCTCCTTTCTAATTTTTCGTAGCAGTCGCAGTTTAAAAAAAAAAATCCATCTGCCAGGCGTTGCTAGGCCTCACGGCCCAGTCGCAGGTTGACTTATGTGTAGGGAAAATCACTTTTGACCAGATAGCCGACCCCATCAGTCCCATCTGGCACTGATGCCATATTTGCACTAAGACAAGTCTGTGAAAAGACACTCGAATACGATAAAGAGCTGAACGTGGTCTTTGTCTGATGATCAAAGCATACTGTATCAAAATGAATATGATCTACAGGAACATCTGACTACTCTCAACAACAGCTGTTTACAACATAATATGAGAAATCAGTACAGAAAAAACAGAAGTTATGAAGATCAGCAGAACACACAGGCCACTGAATATAAATGTTGGAAGTGCCAAAATCAAGCAAACCAAAGAGTTCAAATACTTGGGCAGTATATTTACAGAGGATGGAAGAATGGACAGAGAGATAGAAACAAGAATACAGAAAGCAAATGCTGTCACATACCAACTATCACCTCTGCTTAAACATCCAGATATAACCATGAAGACCAAAGACAATTGATAAACACCATCTTCATTCCAACACTCTGCTACCAGTGCCAGACATGGACAATCAACAAGACCCACGAAAGAAAAATAGAAGCCTGTGAAATGAAATGTCTAAGAAAAGCAGCGAATAAGACCAGACTAGACAGGATAAAGAATATAGACAATTAGAAAACACTGTCAAAACTACACCATGTTTAGACTACATAGAACATCAAAGAATGAAATGGTTTGGACATCTAACCAGGATGAATAATGATCAAATAACATCGCAAATTTTCAACCAAAGAAGCTCAGGATATAAGGCAAGAGGAAGACCAAGGAAACGGTGGATTGACGGGGTCTCCGAAACCTGCCAAAAGCATGGCCTCAGAACATCAGATGCTGCCCGCCTTGCTTACGACAGGAACTTGCATCTCCCCACAACGCTTAGCGGCATACGTGGAAGGAAAAAGTAAAAAGTAAGTAAGTAAGTATAACCTAGTGAGCTCCTTTCCTCCATTAGTTTCACAACCCACCCCCCCCCCCTGACTACCCCCCCCCCCCCACCCCTAGGTTCTTATTTTGCCAGGTTGCCTATTTAACCATTTTAACCACGTATAGATGTTCTATTTCTTGTAATGTATTTAGTATTTTATATATTTCGGCATACACACACAGTATTAGATTTATTTGTTGTTTAGCGCTTGATAATAATTAATGACAATGAAAAAAAAAAGGAAAAAGAAAAAAAAAACTTTTCCCGTCTTCAGGCGTAAATGGGTATATAGGGCTAGACCCATATTTTATAGACCAATCGGTACTTTGTGGGTGATGTGGTAAACATCAAACAGGCCGCCTTTACCTACCATTACTGTACCTGGTACCCACTCAAGGCTAGCTCGACCTGAAAGCCAAGGTCATTTTTTAGAGAAAAAACCTCCAGCCGACGTCAGGTCCCAAACCAACGACCTTACGATCTGTAGCTGAGCGTCTAGCCGCTACACCACTACGGCTTGAAATAATACTTATCACAATAATATATTATTGAAAACTGTTTATACTGCGCTCTTAAACAAGGCTCAGCCTCTTGAACTTCCTGCCCCCTAAAAATTATTAATTATAACGTGACATTAATTCCCCACCCCCACCCCCAGGGACTCTATTCATTATATCGAGGTGTTCATCTCTATGGTGGTTATCTGATTCAGCGTAGGCATAGAGTCGTGTGTGTGTGTGTTTGTGTGTGTGTGTTTGTGTGTGTGAGTGCGTGTGTTCGCGTGTGTTTGTGTGTGTATGTGTGTGTGTGCATGTGTGGGTGTGTGAGTGCGTGTGTTCGCGTGTGTTTGTGTGTTTCTGTGTGTGTGCGTGTATGTGGGTATGTGTGTGTGCGTGTGTGTGTGTGTGTGCGTGTTTGTGTGTTTGTTTGTGTGTGTGTTTGTGTGTGTTTGTGTGTGTGTATTTGTTTGTGTGTGTGTGCTTGTGTGTGTGTGTGTGCGTGTTTGTGTGTGTATATGTGTATTTGTGTGTGTTTGTGTGTTTATGTGTGTGTTTGTGTGTTTATGTGTGTGTTTGTGTGTTTGTTTATGTGTGTGTATGCTGCCTGGGTGAGTATTGCCTGTTTTTGCTTTTTGTGTGGGCCTAAACTGTCTGTGAGTTTACTGTCTGTATCTGACTGTGTACTGTCTATCTGAAATTATGTGTATACTTTCTGTATGTGTATACTGTCTGTATCTGACTGTGTACTTAGTTAGTCTTTCCTCTTGTGTCGAGTGAGGCACATAGGGCAGAGGTCATAACTCTCCATGCACGGCGGTCCGTTGCAATCTGTTGTAGGTCTTGGATGTTTGAGTGGCCCATGAGCGAGCCTTCTCTGATGATAGTTCTACGTAGGGTTTCCCTTGGTCTTCCACGAGATCTTTTCCCCTGTGGTGTCCAAATGAGGGCTTGGTAAGGAAGTCTTGATTTATCCGTTCTAAGGGCGTGGCCGACATAGTTCCAGCGGCGTTTTCGTATAAAATTAGACACATACTCTTGCCTGGATTCTTGCCTTATTTGTGTATTGGTTCGGAAATCTGACCATTTGAAATTTAGTATTCTTCTAAGGCATTTATTTTCAAAACTGTCTAATTTTGTGTCTAGAGTTTTCGTTGATTTTTAGCTCTCGCATTCATAGGTTAGTACTGGAATCACACAAGAATTGAAGATCTTGAGTTTTGTGTGTTTGCTAAGTGTCTTTGATTTCCAGATGTTAGACAGTTTATTGAAGGCACTAGATGCCAGTGCTATTCTAAATGATATTTCTGGTGCGGTATCTCCTGTAGATGACATCTTGCTCCCTAGATAAGTGAAACTTGACTTTTTTAAGGCTGTTGTTGTTCAGCGTGATATCAACTGAACTGTTGGTAAGGTCTAGAATTTTTGTTTTTGCGGTGTTAATTTGGAGTCCAATTTGTTCTGAGAAATTCTGGAGTCGATTGATTTTTTCTTGGGCGTCTGTGTGTTCTGAACTCAGGAGTGCTATGTCGTCGGCGAAGTCTAGGTCTTCCAGAATTTTGTCAACCCATGTAATGCCTAAATTTGCGTTATTTATGCACTTGCGCATGACCCAGTCGATTGCTATACCAAAAAGCATCGGCGATAGGACACAGCCTTGCTTCACTCCTGTTTTTCCAGCGGGAACCAGTCAGAATTGCCGGAATCAGTTCTTACACAGCATCGTGTTTCATTATAAAAAGATTTTATTATGTTGATATATTTGATGGGGGAAACCATAGATGTTAAGCAATTTCCAGAGTGTTGGACGATGGATACTGTCGAAGGCTTTTTGAAAGTCGACAAAGTTGATCAATAATTTCGACTGGAATTCTGTAGAATCTTCAACAATTATTCTAAGAGTAAAGATGTGGTCTATGCATGACCGCTTGGATCTAAAACCGGCTTGTTCTTCCCTTAATCTTTCATCTATGGATTTTTTCAATCTTTCTAGTAGCATACTACAAAATAGTTTCCCTGGTATCGAAAGCAGGGTGATGCCTCTCTGGTTGTTACAATCGGATAAATCACCTTTTTTAGGTAATTTGAAGATTACACCATCTTTCCATTGTTGTGGTGGGTATTCGTTTTGCCAGACTTCATCCATCAGCTGGAGCATGTGTTGCAGGGTGTTTCCATCCGCTGCTTTGAGCATTTCCCCTGAGATGTTGTCCTCTCCGGTAGCTTTGTTTATTCTTAATTTTTTAATAGCTGTTTTAATCTCCTCTATTGTGAATGACTCGCTGGAGGCAACTAGTGTCGGTGGAATAATTTCTTCTTCTAGATTGGGAATGATGTCAGGATTTGGCCTATTTAATATTTCCTTGAAATGTTTTGCCCATCGCTTTGTTTGTTGGTCGACGGACAGCAGTAGTTTACCCTGCTTGTCTTTAATGGGTGTATTTAGTGTAGGTGAGTGATTGCACAGTTGTTTCATTATATGGAATACGGCTTTGTTGTTTCCAATCTTGGCAGCTGTTTCAGCATCGGAGGCGAGGTCGTGTATGAAGTTCTGTTTGTCTTTCCTTGCATTTTATTTCACTTCTTTGTCTAGCGTGCTGTATTTTTCGTATGAAGATGTGTCTTTTTTGGATAAAAGTGTTAATTTTGCTTGTTTCCTTTCTTGGATTTTTGACCAAGTGTTGTCGCTTAGCCACTTCTTCTTCTGCTTTTGTACATAACCAACTGTGTTTACTGCAGCGTTCGTCAGTGTGTTCTTGAAAAAGTCCCAATTTTTGTCTATGTTATTTGTAGAATCCGCATTATTAGTTTTGGTTACATAGGTGGTGAGTATCTCTGCATTAAATGCGCTTTGATGATCTTTTGACAAAAGTGCTTGTAAGTTTATTTTTCTTATTTCTGGGTGGTTTAAGCAGAGACTTGAGTTTAATTTTTAGTTTGGCAATACAAAGATTATGATCACTGCCAATATCAGCTCCCCTGCAGGCTCTAACGTCTTGCACTGATGTACGGAATTGGGCGCTGATGCAAAAATGATCTATCTGGTTTTTTGTTATGTTATCTGGCGAAATCCAGGTTATTTTATGTATGTCTTTATGCGGAAATAAGGAGCTTGCTGCTGTTAGATTTGCTATTTCACAGAGTTCAATTAGCCTCTCTCCGTTTTGATTCATATCTCCTGGGCTGTGTACTGTCTATCTGAAATTATGTGTATACTTTCTGTATGTGTATACTATCTGTATCTGACTGTGTACTGTCTATTTGAAATTATGTGTATACTTTCTGTATGTGTATACTGTCTGTATCTGACTGTGTACTGTCTATTTGAAATTATGTGTATACTTTCTGTATGTGTATACTGTCTGCATCTGACTGTGTACTGTCTATATGAAATTATGTGTATACTTTCTGTATGTGTATACTGTCTGCATCTGACCGTGTACTGTCTATATGAAATTATGTGTATACTTTCTGTATGTGTATACTGTCTGGATCTGACTGTGCACTGTCTATATGAAATTATGTGTATACTTTCTGTATGTGTATACTGTCTGTATCTGATTGTGTACTGTCTATTTGAAATTTTGTGTATACTGTATGTATCTGACTGTGTACTGTCTATATGAAATTATGTGTATACTTTCTGTGTGTGTATACTGTCTGCATCTGACTGTGCACTGTCTATATGAAATTATGTGTATACTTTTTGTATGTGTATACTGTCTGCATCTGACTGTGTACTGTCTATATGAAATTATGTGTATACTTTCTGTATGTGTATACTGTCTGGATCTGACTGTGCACTGTCTATATGAAATTATGTGTATACTTTCTGTATGTGTATACTGTCTGTATCTGACTGTGTACTGTCTATTTGAAATTTTGTGTATACTGTATGTATCTGACTGTGTACTGTCTATATGAAATTATGTGTATACTTTCTGTATGTGTATACTGTCTGCATCTGACTGTGTACTGTCTATATGAAATTATGTGTATTCTTTCTGTGTGTGTATACTGTCTGCATCTGACTGTGCACTGTCTATATGAAATTATGTGTATACTTTCTGTATGTGTATACTGTCTGCATCTGACTGTGTACTGTCTATTTGAAAGAATGTGTATACTTTCTGTATGTGTATACTGTCTGTATCTGAATGTGTACTGTCTTTTTGAAATTATGTTTATACATTCTGTGTGTCTGTGTGTGTACTTTCTGTGTGTCTATACTTTCTGTCTTTGACTGCGTACTGTCTGTCTATGATCTTGTGTGTTTTGTGTGTGTGTGTGTGTGTTTGTGTGTATACTCTCATTTTTAAATTGTGTGCACGTTAACTGTATGTGTATTGTGTGTGCATGTGTGTGTACTGTATGTGTGTATTATCTATGTGTGCCGTCTGTATATGTGCTGTCTATGCGGGATTTTGTGTGTTCTGTCTTTGTGCACTGTCTTCCTGTCTCTGTTTCGCTCTCTCCCTCTCTCTTTCTCTCTCTGTGTGTGTGTAACTATCGCAAAAGCCTAAGTATTCATTGAATACGATTTCAGGAGAATAGTTGGTCACATTCAATATATGTTAAATGTAATTTCAAACAATTATAGTAATTATATTGTGTAGTTTAAAAAACAAAAATTAATCCGTACATCTGTGATCACACTTTTTAACATGCATGTCTGCTTGTCTCGTGCAGGACCTTTGTTGTGGAATCTGGGAAGAGGGAAGACTGTATTTACGATTTTCTGTGTATAGATGGAATATTCTTCTGTGGGTCAAATCTGGGTGATTACGTTTTCTTACACATCATCCCGGCGAACAGTGTGTTTACGATTGTCTTTCAAACAGATGGAGATGGTACAGGCGATGGCTTTGATGTATGTTCTTGTTGTAATTTTACGTTTGTATCCTTAAACAGTCCTGTGGCTAAGTGTATGCGAACGCTTCGTAATGCCGGGATACCGGGATCGATCCCAGCTGCAGGCCATTCGCCTTGCGTTGGTTTCGACAGTAATATCAAGAAAACCGACCGGCCAGAAAGCAATGACAAACTACTGGACGTAAATTTGCCTAGAAAAAACCACACAACAGCCAGGGGCTGTTGGGGTTGCTTCTGCAACGTCCTTTAAAGGATATGCAACTAAGCTATCCTTAAAGCAACCAAGATGCTTTGCAAGAGGCAAATGCTCGAAGACAACTTTTCACAAACTTTAGAAAGAGACCGTCAAACATTTTTTTTGGGGCGGGGGTGGGGGAGGGGGGGGGTGGGGGTGGTGGTCATTAAGAAAAGAGGTAAAATGGAGCATGTTGTGACCACTGGAAAGATAGACAGAGGAAGACAACGTCCCGAGTCTTTTGTCATGGCACGGATGGATGCCAGCACACGAACTGATACACGCAGATCGCAGGTTGTGGAGAGGTATGATCGCCCACTTCAGTCAGCAGGACACTGATGATGATGAGCCTTTAAAGTCGAGGGAAGAGACAGTTTCTGATGCAATGCTCGACGAATGAAGGTTTTTGGGGCCTTTTCTCAGGGGTAGGGAGAACAGAAGCACTGCCTTTCTCACAAGCATGTCGTAAGAGTCGATTCATGAAGGGTTTAATTTACAATCAGATATCGTCGGCATGGGATGCGAGGAACCAAAAGTCTGCATGAAAGTAAGCGAAATCTGTAAAACTGAAATGCACGCAAAACTCACGTTCTGGAACAAGACTAGAGTATAGAAGTGGATTGAAAACCAGATTTCCCCACTAAGTTTACAGCTGGTGGAAAAAAAGGGACTCTCTGGCAACTGCGGCTTTATGTGATTGTACAATGTCCTTAATGTCATAAATCTATCCCTTGTCTTGCTCTGTTGTCATGTCTTATTAGATTTAGCGCATATTGATAAAGGATGTTCTTGCAGTCTAGTGCGATGTACACACCATTTGATCTTTAATGTTCTTCATGTTGACACCCTTTTCTCTTTGTTCTTTATATTTTTAAACCAGTGGTTCTCGACTTTCCTAATGTTGCGACCCTTTAATATAGTTTCTCATGTTGTGGTGACTCTTTAATACAGTTTCGCGAACCAGTAAAGAAATATGCCCCCAGGGCCCTTCGAAAGAGGGGGAGAATGAAGGGCCCAACCAAATTGATACAAACGGTGACGACAATGCTAGCCCCCGGACTCAGATTCTTGCTCAACGTCCGGGCTGGCTCTGTACATGTGGGAAAAGCTTCACGGGGTTGCATGGTCTGAGAACGCATGCCGGAAGGATGAAATGCAAGGGTGCTCCACGCAGTAAACGCCGTCGCAAAACTACTACTCCTGTTGTAGTTTCTGAGTCGTTAGGGAACGACGGGCAGGGTGTTCCCCACTCGCCCAGAGAGGCTTACGACGTCGACTGCGGAGGCACAAATTTGATGATTCCCGAGGAAGTGCGTTCCAAAATCAGGTTTCCACCTGCGAACGATAAGGTGGTGTGGTGCGAGTTAGAAGGCACATTGTGTGAGATACTTACACATGATTTAAAAAAGAAGTCGTTAGGCGACAAGCTTATAAAATGTGATGATGTTATATATGAACACTGCTCCCGTCAGTTCGGGACAGTGGAGAAGGCACAGCCGGGTGCCAAGCAGAAGACTAGCAGGAGACAGAGGGACATTCTGAAGTGTCGGGCAGACAAGAATGCCCTTAGAAAACGGTTTAAAGCCGCTACAGGTAGCGAACGGGAGGGGCTGCATGAAGTTTGGTTGCATTTGAAGGACAAACACAGTGCCCTCTGTCGCGCTGAGCGTTTTTGTAACAACAGGAGAAGAACCAAAAGGGAGCGAGAGAAATTCTTTAGGGACCTGTTCCAGTTTGCCCGAGGTCTATTCGAGCAACCGAAGTCTGGGATTCTGGTTGTCAGTAAAGAAGAGCTTGAGTCACATCTACGCAAGATGTACTTTGACAAAAAGAGGAATGAGCCTCTTGATGACAATACAGAGATCCTTAGCGGCCTCAAGCAGTCTGAGTTGCCGAAGGTATCATTTAAAGTGATACCTCCCCTTTGGTCGGAGGTTGAGGAAGTTGTGAAAAGGGCCAGCGGCAAGTCTGCCCCAGGTCCGAATGGTGTTCCGTACGTTCTTTACAAGCGTTGTCCGAAAATTCTACGAATGCTTCAAGTCTTGTTGAGACAAGCGTGAAGCCGAAAATACAAATGTTCAGAGTAGCAACGGGCAAACGGGGTCTACATTCCCAAAGAGCAGGACTCGAAGAGTCTTTCCCAATTCAGGCCCATCTCGCTGTTGAATGTCGAGGGTAAAATATTCTTCTCGGTCATGGCTCGCCGGCTCACACAGTATCTGATGGCTAAAAAGTACATCGATACGAGTGTTCAGAAGGGTGGTATTCCGGGCGTTCCTGAGTGCCTTGAACACGCGACCATGATTTGGGAGTCTATTCAGAGAGCCAAGCATGATAGAACTGATTTGCACGTTATACGGTTGGACCTAGCCAACGCCTACGGGGCAGTTCCCCATAGGCTACTGTGGCAGGCCCTTCGCATGTTTCACGTACCGGCACAGATCAACGATATGGTCGAGCAATACTTCTCTAAGTTCGCTTTGCGCTTCTCTACCTCGACGTTTACCACGAGGTGGACTGAGCTACAAGTTGGGATTGCTATGGGCTGTACGATCTCACCCATACTGTTCGTCATGGCCATGCAGATTATGTTAGACGGGGCGGCCGGCTACGGACAGGGCCTTCAAATAGGGGATCACTGGATGCCGCCACTACGCACATTTATGGATGACACGACTATAACATGGGCAGCGAGGAGTCTGCCCGCACGATCCTGGAAAGATTGGACGCGGTGGTCCAATGGAGCGGTATGCAGTTCAAACCGCAGAAGTCGAGGAGTCTGTCAATCCGTAAAGGCAAGGTTGCGGCAACCAGTTTTACGGTGGCAAAGAACAAGATCCCTACGGTTCTCGAGGAACCGGTGAAGAGTTTTGGTCGCGTCTACGATTCGCAGTTATCTGATAGAGCGGAGGTCCGGCGAATACATGTCACTGGCTACAGGCTTGCTCGCGATCAAGCGTAGCAGGCTGATCGATAAGTTCAAGGTATGGTGTCTCCAATTCATGTTGATTCCAAAGCTCCTATGGTCGCTGCTAGTCTACGAGGTGACGATGTCTGCAGTGGAAACCATGGAGAGGAAAATCAACACAGCCTTAAGAAAGTGGATTGGTGCACCGCCTTGTCTGACCGACGTGGCACTGTATTGCAAGCAGGCTAAGCTGGTACTCCCGTTTAAATCGATAACCGAAGAGTTTAAAGTCGGCAAGGTAAGACTCGCCATGCTCTTGCGCGAGTCTTCAGACCCAAATGTCATCGCTGTCCAGTCCGCTTTAAAGACTGGTCAGAAGTGGAGAGTTCTCGATGCGATAGAATCTGCCCAGAATGCACTAAAATTCAAGGAAATAATGGGATACACTCAAACCGACCGTCGAAGCCTAGGTCACGGGAAGGTCAATTGGTGGTCCAAAGCCACAGCCACAATGTGGTTAACGAACTAGGATTGCGCGGTAATGAACGGAAACGGACACGTAAACGGCTGGGCGAGGTTGCTGAGAGGGCCTCGAGCTGGTTTTGGACGCAACGGAACAACGTAGGGGAGGGCCTCGGTGAGCTGATCCGGGTGTCTAGTGGAAAAGAGTTTCTCATCCCTTGAAAGTCCATCGTGTCCGAATTGTCTGCCAGTGTTCCTCTGCTACCTGCTAACAAAGTCCAACATATGTCCGGTATACCAATTGTAAGCTTGTCGCTTGGTCGTCCAGGTATGCAGGCTGCTCTAATTATGCTACCGCGAAGACTTCTTATCTCACAGTACCTTCTGCTAAATCACCAAGTCGTCTTGTCCCTATCCGAACACCATCCGGTAATTTCGTGCAGCAGGGAAACCAACCCTGAGCTTCATGAACTCAGGTGGGCCCACTCTCTGAAAACGTCTAGAAGCTCGTGGGCTGAAACGTTTGTCGACGAGATATTACTTCTACTGACGATTGGTAGATCCCTGCTGTACTTGCTCCCCTGTAGAGTTTATTCTTACAGTTTCTCATGTTGTGGTGACCCTTTAATACAGTTTCTCATGTTGTGGTGACCCGTTAATACAGTTTCTCGTGTTGTGGTGACCCTTTAATACAGTTTCTCATGTTGTGATGACCCTTTAATACAGTTTCTCATGTTGTGGTGACCCTTTAATACAGTTTCTCATGTTGTGGTGACACTTTAATACTGTTTCTCATGTTGTAGTGACACCCAACCAAAACATTATTCCCATTGCTATTTCATAACTTCAGCAAATATGTGTTTTCTGATGGTCTTAGGCGATCCCTGTGTGCAATGACTCTCTGTTGTCTAGCTCTAGTCACTACACGCTTCCATCACTTACAACACACGAGAAAACATTGACGTTATCGAACAATCTGAATTACACCGCTTGTTTATTTGTTCCCTCACTGGTATTGCAGCCAGTAAATGTTATTGGACAACACAATCACTCATATCTTTCTCCACCTATCGAACATGTCAACTATACCTTATAACAAACATTCCATCTAGCAATTGAAAGATAACGACGAGTCTATCCTATCAAAACACAACATACTCAGCTGGCTACGGCACTTCCGTTACTCGCTACTGATGGCCAGGTAGGCGTTGGAAAAACACTGTGCAGACACATTGGACTTGAACACTTTTTCTGGATCCAGCAGATACTCCTTCATACTTCATGTATTCATTTCCTAGGCCTAAACGAGACTGTCCACCAGCACTTTTTCAGGCATTATATAACCTTCTAATGCCCTCCTCGTGATCCTGACTTCTCCGTGCTCTCTGATTTACATTTGAATTCTCTGAATTCCATTTGGCCAGAAATTTCTATATGATCCCCCTGAATTTCACCTGTCCAGCAATTTTTTGTGATTCTCGTGGATTTCGTCCTCTCAGCATTTCTCGTGTTGTTCCAGTTCCACATAAAATATTCCACTTAAATTTATTAGCTAACGTTGATTCTTACCCCCAAGAATAGATACATGTCTATACTGATGGATCAGCATTTAAAGCTACCATTAAAGCAGGTTACGGAATCTACATAGGTTATCCCGATGGATCTGTTGAAGAGATTTTTGATGCATGCGGGGAATTCTGTTCAAATTATGAAGCTGAAATAATTGCATTGGAAACAGCAGTATACCACCTACAGACTGTAATGGATGTTTACCCTTCAAAGGTCCAAAATATTGTCATCTTCACAGACTCAAAGTCTGCCCTTCAAGCTCTGGAGGGCAGTGAACGCTGCAGAACTGACATAGCCAAGATAATCCTGGATGCTGATCAGCTTATTACCTCATACAACATCAGAGTAGTGATGCAGTGGATTCCAGGTCACTCCGGCACACCAGGTAATGACAGAGCTGACAGATTGGCAAAGAAAGGAGCAACACAAGAACAACCACCTACAGCGACAACCCTCCAGACAACAAAAACACTGATAAGAGCTATAAACAAAGAGACTTGGTTGAACAGATGGGTCATGGGAGACACTGGAAGAGAGTTTATAGACATATGTCTGGCCCTGATCCTAATGACAGCATTAACCATCTAACAAGAAGGGACCAGGCCACCATCTTCAGACTTAGAACGCAACATACTCCACTCAATAGACACCTAAACAGAATACAGCCACAACACTCCCCAGTGCCAGCTATGTAACTACCCCTACGAAACTGTTGAACACCATCTCTTTGAGTGCCCAAAACTCAGTGAGACAAGAAGAACGCTACTCCCTCCGAGACCAGACAAGTGGAACACCTTGTACGGAGGAAAAGAACAGCTTGTGAAAACATGCAAATTCCACTACATGGCATTGGGCCAAAGGGCGAAAGCTCATGCGCCGCTGGATCGATAACAACAATAACAACATAGCTTACGTCATTCCGTCTAGGACATAATTTCACTGGAAGAAAAAAGGTTCAATACACTTTGAAATGGTCTTTCCACCCCTAGAGGGGTCGCGACCCACACGCTGAGAACCACTGTTCTAGACGATAGTGTTATATGGTAATAGAAAGTGTATTGATCGGCACTCATAGAAAGGAGTAGAAAGATAGAAGAACACACTAGACAACATATTATTCGAAAGCTATATTTACAGTGCCGGGAATTAAACCTGTCACCTCCAGACAGCATGTGCGCCTCGCCATAGATACAAGTGCACTAAGAACATGGTCAACTTTCTACTTCTTTCTATAAGTGCCAATCAATGCACTTTCTGTTACTTGATTAATTCATAATATTTAACGGCCTCAAAGGTTCTCCCTCTATTTATTTATATATATGGTTATAGGCTAGACCTGAGAATCAAAGCCTATGGTGATTTTGAGTCTGACAAGCAAGACCCACCATCGTTAGGTAAAGTCTTCCACAATTAAAGCAGGAGTTTGTAGAACCTCTGTCGTTGTCACATTTTTATGTGTGCGCTTTTTCTCATACGCCCAGCTGGTATTCTGTCTGCGATAATGTTTTCCTTCATTCTCATCCCATTTTTAAGTTTCCCCCTCTAAACAAACACGGCACATGTTCCCACGAATTTACCTTGATACTTGTATTATTCATGCCCTGTCTACATATATGTTCATATCGTAGAGGTCGGCCTCGACATCTTCTGCCCATCTGTTTCCCCTATTTTGTGTGGAGCCCTGTTCCTATTGTTTTCTCTAGTACTGTAGTTTCATAGTTCTTTAAATTTGATTATTCGAATGTTTTTCTTCATGTTTTCTAAAATTTTTGATTAATTGTATTACTATGAAATGGGAGGGACATACGGAGGTCGAACGGCTGGGACATGCAGGGATAGAACGGCTGGAACATGCGGGGATAGAACAGCTGTGACATACAGAGATAAAACCGATGGGTCAAACATAGATAAAACGGCTGAGACATAAAGATAGAGCGGCTAAGACATACAGAGATAGAACGGCTAGGTTATACAGAGATAGAACGGCTGAGACATACGAGGTCGAACGGCTGGAGACATACAGATACAGACCGGCTGGGACATATAGAGGTAGAAAATTTGGGACATACAGATAGAACGGCTCAGGTATACAGAGATAGACCGGCTGGGACATATAGAGATAGAACGGCTGAGACATACAGAGATATACCGGCTGGGGCATAAAGAGATAGAACGGCTAGACATACAGATAGAACGGCTGAGGCATACTAATAATACAGATAAAACGGCTGAGGCATACAGAGATAGACCGGATGGGACATACAGAGATAGAACGGCTGGGACATGCAGAGATAGAACGACTGGGGACATACAGAGATAGAACGACTGGGACATGCAGAGATAGAACGGCTGGGACATTCGGAGATAGAATTACTACACACACACACACAGATAGAACGGCTGGGACATACAGAGATGGAACGGACCGGGACATACAGAGATAGAACGACTGGGACACACACAAAACTACTGGGACACACACAATAGAACGACTAGGAAATACAAATAGAACGAATGGAACATGCAAATAGAACGACTGGGACATACAGAGATAGAACAGCTGGGAGATACAGATAAAACGGCTGGGACATACAGAGATAGAACAACTGGGACGTACAAATAGAACGACTGGGACATATAGAGATAGAACGGCTGGAACATACAGATAGAACGGCTGGGACATATAGAGATAGAACGACTGGGGCCACAAATAGAACGACTGGGACATACCAATAGAACGACTGGGACATACAGAGACAGAACGGCTGGGACATACAAATAGAACGACTGGGACATACAGAGACGGAACGACTGGGGCATAAAGAGATAGGACTACTAGGAAATTCAGAGATAGAACGAAAGGAATAAGAAGAAAGAAGAAGAAAGAAAAAGAATGTAATTCTACAATTACTTCCTAGATGCCATCACTTCAATATTTAGCACTATTGTGGCGTTGATGGGGGAAGAGCGGTGCGGTGGTCTTTATACTAGAGTTTTCAGGGCCTCATGACTAACGCAGTCGCCTTGGACCGTGCGGGTCGGGTTTCTAGTTTTACCCAAAGCAGGAACAAATGCCATCACCCTACCAGGGATTCGACCTGGTGTCTCTCCAACAGAGCCCTGAGCCAGCCATTCCTCTAATTGTACCATAACGTTACATTATTCTCTTTCCTCTAGATTGCTGTAACACCGGTCCCAGTCGAACATGGGTCCATTGTTACCCAGTCGGAAAGTAGCAACAAAAACTTGACCAAAACAAGAGATCCTTCAAGGCATTACATCGATGGTTGCGGTTTCTGGGTGAACAGACGCAGACTGACAATCAACCCCACTGTTGAGCCCACCAAGCCCCCACATGTGGCCAAATGCTCATGCCATTGTGAGTCTGACCTTTACCACGGTGACGACTGACAGCCCCACTGTAAACACTGACAGACCCACTGTAACCACTGACAGACCCACTGTAACCACTGACAGACCCACTGTAACCACTGACAGACCCACTGTAACCACTGACGGACTCACTGTAACCACTGACAGACCCACTGTAACCACTGACAGACCCACTGTAACCACTGACGACCCACTGTAACCACTGACAGACCTACTGTTACCACTGACAGAAACACTGTAACCACTGACAGACCCACTGTAACCACTGATGGACCCACTGTAACCACTGACAGACTCACTGTAACCACTGACAGACCCACTGTAACCACTGACGACCCACTGTAACCACTGACAGACCTACTGTTACCACTGACAGAAACACTGTAACCACTGACAGACCCATTGTAACCACTGATGGACCCACTGTAACCACTGACAGACCCACTGTAACCACTGACAGATCCACTGTAACCACTGACAGATCCACTGTAACCACTGACAGACCCACTGTAACCACTGACAAACCCAATTAAACCACTGACATACCCACCGTAACCACTGACAGACCCACTGTAACAACTGACAGACCCACTGTAACCACTGACGGACTCTCTGTAAACACTGAAAGACCCACTGTAACCACTTACAGACCCACTGTAACCACTGACAGACCCACTGTAACCACTGACGGACTCACTGTAACCACTGACAGAAACACTGTAACCACTGACAGACCCACTGTAACCACTGACGGACCCACTGTAACCACTGATGAACCCACTGTAACCACTGACAGACCCATTGTAACCACTGACAGACCCACCGTAACCACTGACAGACCCACCGTAACCACTGACGGACCCACCGTAACCACTGACAGACCCACCGTAACCACTGACAGACCCACCGTAACCACTGACAGACCCACCGTAACCACTGACAGACCCACGGTAACCACTGACAGACCCACCGTAACCACTGACAGACCCACCGTAACCACTGACAGACCCACCGTAACCACTGACAGACCCACCGTAACCACTGACAGACACACCGTAACCACTGACAGACCCACCGTAACCACTGACAGACCCACTAAAACTACTGACAGACCACAAGCAAGTGAGCGAACTCCACCAAAAGCTAACGACTGTGCAGGTTTGACCTTCACGTGTGATCCGCAAGAACAAAACAAATAGACACAACTGGAGAACAAAACTTCAGCTTTGAAAGTTGAATGATTACCAACCTCGAAATAAACTCTTCTTAGTTAAAATTTAAAAAGACAAAACTAATACATTAACCTTTTATGCTAAAAATCAATTAAACAAACTGTCAGATCATATTTATTGTTTAGGCTTGTTTTAACTTGTTATTTTGAGTTATATTGTGTGGCAGTTATCTTGACCTTGTCCCAAACAGATTACTTTGGTTTTCATTTTTTTTCTAGTCGCTTACATTTTTTCAATTCTGCTTTTTCTAGAATTATTGTGTAAACCTATTTCGTATCGAAAGATTGTATTATTATTATTATTTTATTATTATTATTATTATTATTATTATTATTATTATTATTATTATTATTATTATTATTATTATTATTATTATCATTATTATCATTATTATTATTATTTGGGGTCATGAAATCTGTTGTTCGGATATCGCTTGTTGAAAACTATTGTTTTTAAATTTGAATTATTTTGTTCCAGATTATAAAAGAACGGGTGAAAAAGAGGATGAGGGGCGGGGCGTTTAATAGGTAACCGCCGGGGTGGTTTGACTATTGGTAAAGTACACAGACGTGATCCGCTGCCGGTGATCGTCTGAGGTCTTCAGCAATGCCCACGAATTCATGTTTGAGTTGCAGACGATGATGATGATGATGATGATGATGATGAGAGGGCAAAGTTGCAGTAAATAAATGTAGCTTTGCGATGACCAGTAAAACATAAATGTATGAGGGCTGTCCGGAAAATTGGGAGTGGGCGGGGGGGGGGGGGGGGGGTGCGAACAATGAGCAACAATTAATATTAAAGAACGGTTTACACGACATCGATATAACATTGGGAGTCAACAATGTCACGTTTCAATTGGTCCCGAATCTGAAACAACCAGTACCACATGGAGACATCAAGACAAATTATAAACACAGTCGCCCGCTACAGTAGACTTGTGCTATAAGTGTCAAACTTGTACACGAAAGAACATTGACTGTCTGCGAAATCAGATGTCTAAGAAAGGTAGTGAACACAACTAGAAGAGGTGGCGTACGAAACGAAGAAATAACAAGAACTACTGACACAATTATCGACGTCTGTAGCTTAGGCTTTGCGACGGCGCTTCGTAATGCCGGAGTGCCGAGTTCGATTCCGCCGCGGACGATCTGTCTTGCGCTGGTTTCGACTATGGCACCAAGAGCTGTCTGTTCAGTCAGCAGTGGCAAACTACTCAACTAAAAATTTACGTTTTAAAATCACAACAGACCGAAAAAAAAGTTCTGGGGTTGGTTCTGCAACGTCCTGTAAAGGATACGCCACTAACTTTAACTGAAGCAACTACTACAGGGTCTAATTAAATTCAATGAAAAGCAAGGACTGAAATTGTTTGGTCATTTAATGAGAATGAATCCAATGATGCCAGCCACGAGACCGTACAGCACGAAAATAGAAATACCAACTGGTAGAGGATGACCAACGAGAAAAATAGATTAAAAAGTAACTGTTATGTTGAGACTCCACACAGTCGTAGCATACCAGGCAACCGAGTGAGCCCTAGCTCGGATACCAATCATTTATTAACCTAACGGCAAAAAGCAGACTAAAGAAAGAAAAAAAACATAGAAAGAAAAAATTTAACTTGGCAGCCACAGGGATACCTGCCATGCGCATGCAGGAACAAAAATGACGTTGCTGCTTCCGTTAATGTGACTGTTGAACGTCTTTTAGTAAGCACAATCCTGCGTGGTCGTGGTATTCAAACAGGTTGAACAAATATTCTTTTGTTTCCATGAAATATGACCTGTTCTTTATCATGTCTCCAAGTTTAAGATCTCAATTTAATATTATCTTTGTTTGTTCGGTGTCCACACTGCTGCAGATAGCAAATTAAAAATATAGTTAAAGCAAAGTATTATTTATCTTATCTAAGCATAATAATTCCCACCTGTACTACCAGTATCAGAAACGGTCACCCACAGCAAACCAGACAAAGACCATTAGTAACCATGGAAATGATATAACTGACAAGGGCTGCAGGAGTGACCAAAGTGTTACAGCCAGAGAAGAAGTCAGCGCAGAACCAACTCTTGATTATGTATAAACACAGCAAATCACTTGGTTTGGCCACTTTGAAAGAATGCTATGCCATACAAGACATACGCTAAAAGATAATTTCGTAGATCACGAGGTAGACTAAAAACAATATGGAAAGATAACATCACAGAAACTCTAGAACAGTAGCGCATGTCTACAGTCGAAGTGGCTAGAAGAGTAAGAAGTAGAACTTTTATATCTCCCTCTATACTCAAAGCGGTAAAGAGGAAGTGAAGAAAAGGAGGAAAGAATTCTTGACCAGGCTCTTTCGGCCATTTTTACCGCATTTAAAGAAACTGAAAATTTTATGAAATTATCTGAGGTAATTTAGAACGGTAGGGATAAGGGCTACCAATGCTGAGCCCCCCCCCTCCCCCCCCCCCCACCCCCCCCCCCCCCCCCCCCCCCCCCCCCCCCCCCCGAATCTGGGTTTTTATACGCCTGGGGGAACCTTTTTTTTTTTTAATATATATATCCCTATATAAAAGTGGTAAATGTTTCGTTTCGTAAATATAAATTTTATACATTTTAAAAATCTGGGTTTTTAATTTTTTTTTGTTTTTTGTTCTTTGTCTATGTATTGCTTGGGTTTTTGTTCAGCTAAGCTGGTTTAAAAAAAAAAAAAAATCTTATAGGGAGCCCTGGTAGGGACGTTAGGGATTTGTATAGCTGAGGGGTTGTTGACATCTAACCCCGGCCCTCGCTGCAAATAATTTCCTTTCTGGAGAAGGTTCAAGATGTAATTCTTGTGATCAACAGTTGTTTAGTTTTTGTCTTGGCCACCAGTCGGTCCGCGAAAAACATCTACTATGTTACCGGAGTCTAGGCGTACAAAGTTAAAGAATGCTGTGCTCATGATGATGATGATGAGCTGGGATTATTACTGTACTGCCTAAGTTGATTTTCAGATGATATCTTTTTGTTTACCAAAATAGATTTCTTGTTGACGCAACTTCCAGGCATTTCTCTCTCCTCTCTCTTACTGTCCTTTCTTTAAAACATCATTACGTTTTTTTATAACTTTATTGGCTTGTGCGTGGATTTTCTGGGGGTAAAAAAAAAGGGTGTGGGGGGACCTACCACGTTCAGTCTACTTCTGTGAATAGTTTTGGTTATAATTCTGTCTGAATGTTTTTGTATGCTCTGGGGTATGAGGGAATGCACGAGCTGATTGGCTGGCTGGCAGGGCCACGGTAGGTACAGGAAAGGCAATGGGCCAGGTTGACATTCTTAGTGCTCTCAAGGTGGCAGGACGAGAAGATGATTCAGGAGACGACGTTATATCCACAACATTGAAAAGAGTACAAGAACTTCAGGTAAAAAGTTGTGTCGCTAAACATAAACACTATACAGGCAGCCAAAGAAGAATAGTAAACCAACACAGAACTGGGGTTATCAGTTGCCATACACTGGGGGATTTCCTGAAGATGGGATCGGAGCGCTTATAGATTTGTCTGATGTCATCATCATCATGTAGCAGGTCCTTTGCAGAACGTCGCTCTCATCACAGTCTGCATGAAAAAACAAACCTGTTTGTCGCCAGTTCTTCCGCCTCGTGTGCTTTCATACCCAAGGAGTCACTTATATCCTGTACCCATCTTCTTGTCGATCTGCCCCTGCCCCTCATTCCTGATACCATGCCTTCTGCTATAATTTTCTCCAATCCTTCGTGGCGCTTGATATGACCAAAATATTTCAGCTTCTGAG